GAGACAAAATTACCGAAACTTGTGCTAGTACTACCTCAAAACATATCGAAATGTTAGAAATAAGTTCGAAAATAGACTGTTTCACCGTCAATCTCATCGATTGTTGGGTATTATATTGTGTCTCATCTCATAATAATAATAATAATTGATTTTATTGATAGGAACAAAATACAAAAAATAAAATATATATTTAAACTAAAATATAACCTCCTATCAAATGGCAGGATTCAATTTCTGACCATGCTACGGAGAAATCGCAACATGAGCAGACCTTTCTCTTCCATCCAACCATCATAAATAATTAAAGTGTAGTAACTTCATCCCTACACCAAACTAACATGTTGAAAAGAAAGGAATTTGAACAAAAAAGTGATGAATAATGCCTACCCAGTCAGCTATCGCTGATACCTCATTTTTTGTTTGTGTGTCGAGCATAACGTATTAACATTTATTCAACAGGCAAAATGCCATGACACTCAAATGAAAGGAATCGTAGTAGAAGCGATAAAGGCATTCCCTTGGGCTGGAAATATGGATATATGAACCGTCAATTGGACAATATGAGAGACTAAAGACTAAGGAACGGTGACTTATCCCCGAAGCACGTAGAATCGCACAGTGAAGCCGAAGCGCTGAAGAGCTGAAGATCAGTAAGTACATATAAATAATCGGTGTTGATAATATGACTTTCAGCTGAACTGAATTTTGGTGATGACATTTTGAATTCAAGAATGAATTTGGTGTTGTATGATGTAAAACATTGTTGTACAGAGTTGGGTTGACCCCGTTACACACGTAGAGATCTTTTGACAAAACGAAAGTGAAGCGTCAAATTCACTAAGTTCTATTCACCTTGATAGTAACAATGCTGGTATTGTCAAAAGAGGCACTCCCGAGATAAACAAACACACTGCTCTGGGGAACAGGAGTTAAACGTCACTCTCGAGAGACAGTTTCTCAAAACGAGTACTGGCCGGACCAAAATGACAGCATAATGAAACGGGTCCTTAGTGAAGAAAAACGGACAAAGATAATTCAGAAGTACCCCATCTTTCAATTGAAAGCTATCAGCAGGTCCAAGGTTGAACCCCTTAGTTGCAATGGTCATTAGAAAATGTGTATTGCAACGGAACATCAGACTGAAACTGATCCAAGTTCATATTGGTGCAAGCCAGAGGTTGATAAGACTACTTTTACATCAATTTTGGGGGGGGAGAAGGTTCGCCAATTTTTGCAACCTTACAGTGGGTCGACTTTGCTTCCAACAAATATCTTCCACGTAGTGAATGGCTGACGTACGGCGAATGGTTATTTGGAGACAACCTGGAAAGATATAAAATCATCTAAAGTAACAATTCATTAAGGACAGTCTCAACTCCCTACACTGTAGGTTAATGGACTGACACCCATCAGAAAACAACTACTTCCCTGGCTAATACCACGAAGGGCGTTGGATTATATCCGACAGGTGTCAGTGCAGGATTCTTCACTGAAGTTATTCCTGCATATGCTGTTGGCAATACAACTGCCGCAATAGGTAACCAACCGGATATACGGTAGGTTACCTCGTTCTCAGGCAGATGGGGTAATGACAAACCTGTTGTTTGTTGTCGATTTTCAATTATCGGAAATTATGGACTTTTTGTTGATGATAGATACTACCTTGCACTGACGAGTGGCCAAACAGCCCGAAACCGGTCTGCAAGTATGTTCCCATAATTGAAAATCTATTGCGGCAATTGTATCGCCAACAGCATATGCAGGAAAAACTTCAGTGAAGAATCCTACACTGACACGTGTCGGATATAATCCAACGCCCATCGTGGTATTAGCCAGGAGAGTAGTTGTTTTCTGATGGGTGTCTGTACATAAACCTACGATGTATAGAGTTGAGACTGGCCTGAATGAATTATTCTTTTAGATGATTTGATTTATAGCCAGTCTTCAATTATGTCCACCTACTATATGTGGAAAGATATGTCAAGAACATGAAAAATATTTGACGAGTTATAATGGAATTGAGACAAGAAAAAATTCTTGGAAAATACCGGGACGCAACCAGAAGCTTTCAACTTCAAAGATTTTTCTTGGAGATAAGAGGGAATTCAACATGGTGGACGACCAAACGTAGCGCATAACTCTATATACAAGATACCACAATTATAGGTCAGTAAAATTGCAGGTAGAACGCGTCGATTTCGTAACAAATGCTGTAATGAACCAACGTCAAGCAAATTTTAGCGGGATTGAAAATTCCATTTTCCAAGAATACACCTGCCGAAGTTACTTTTATAGAGAACCCATATGTTTCTTGAAGGAAGCCAGCAAGATTCAAATTGCCTTGAATAACTTATCATTGGCAAATGTACTAGTGATGCACTGTTTGGAACCTTTGGTGCAGTAATTAATATTACTGGAGTGTTACTCTTGAAGATGATCACTTGGTGATCGAAACACGTGTCGAGGTGTTGAAATAACGGTTTGGTATTGGGAGAAAACTCCAGTGATATTCTTTAGCAAATGTGATGGTTCACTTCTTTTGAAAAGGGATTTAACGTTCAGTTTTCGAAATCAATATCTGTTTTAAAAAATCTGTTTAAAATCTGTTTTTCCGTTAATCAGCTGCCGCCCCCATACGAACGACAACTCTCAGAAGTTGAGAAACTTGTGCGAGCTAAGGACTAACGAGGTCTTACCTTTTAACGTGTGATCCTAACACGTTCTATGTTCTGTTTTATTGTGTTTTAATAATAGTGCAAACAAAAATGAAGTGTTTTTGTGAGACATTTCATAGGTAACTTAATAAAATATTCGTGTGTGTACGTTCGAGGCCATGAAAAGTTACAGAATAGTATGGATCCTACTCGCTCGAAGTTGTAATTTTTTTGTATTTTTATATTGGTACGAAGAAACAGTGATGAAAAGGTAATTTTCATATGTAAACGCTACCCTTTCATCTCCAGTGGGGGCGCCCCAGTTGAAATATCCGAAAATTCTTACTTATTACAAATCTACAATATAAAATGATACTACATAAAAATTTCAGCCTACAACAATATATCAGTACGGAGAAATATTGATGAAAAGGAAATTTTCATATGTAAACTCGCCCCGAATTTGTTTCGGCAGGGCTCTCAGGCGATGATATCTAAGAAATTCGAGACCAAAAACACAAAATTTACTGTAATCGAGAACTGTATCACAATCCAATTGCCGCATCCAATCCATTGCTCAGTGGATAAAAACGATGCTTGCAAAATTGAGCGTAGATACCTCGATATTTCTCATCTCACATCGCACAAGGCACTTTCAGCTTCAACCGCAGTATGCAGGGTCTTTCTTCCTAACTACATTACGAAACTTTAGAGGGTGATTCGTTAGGTCGTTTCATTGATGTCCGGAGTTTCATTTCCTAGATACAGGGCGTTCAGTCTCAGTGGATACCACAGCCAGCAATATTAGGGAAAAAAAAGTACGCCACTGACTTGTTGTTGTAGTTTTTCAGATTAATCATCGCTCGTGTTTCCTTTATGTTTTTTATATCTAACATCGTTTTCGAGAAAAAAAATTGAAGCCACTTTGCATATCATGAACAATTGCTTTGGAGCTGATGGTGATAGTGGTGTCATATCAGTGAAAGTATCAAGAATAATTTCACTAACACTGAAATGGCTGACATTCACTTTATTTATGAATGGGCAAATGGAAATGCGGAAGAAGCACGGAGAATTACCAGGACGGATATTTTAACAGAGTAATTCCATGTGCTAAAACATTTAGAACGCTACATGAAAATTATGTGAAACTGGGAGTTTTAATAAAAATGCAAGTGGTGAAAGATCAGAAACTGTAACATCGTCTGAACTAGAAGAAGTTAGACTTGATGCGATACAAGGAGATCCTCCAAATAATACCAGGAAGATTGCACTACAGCTGGAAATCAGCACAAAAACCGTATGGACAGTCCTAAAATGAAACCTCCTATACCCATATCATATACAGCGGGTCCAAGCTCTATTGCCTCGAGATTTTCACCCAAGATTAATGTTTTGCACGTGGTTGATTCATACGATGGCAAACGCAAATTTTTCACGAGATGCTATTATGAACTTTCACCGTTTGTTTGAAGGTTACTGACAATGTTTCATGATGAATTTCACTAGTTCGGACTTCCATTGTCTAATATATAAAATGATTTGAAATCCCTGAAACAACTAATATTTCATAAATACCGTTTTTTTTAACTTCAGTGCCCTGTATCTCAGAAACGAAGTGACTCCGGACATATGTTCATCAAAACTTTTTTCTTGAAACGACCTAACGAATCACCCTCTGAAGGTTCGTATCGTAGTTAGGGAGCACCCTGTATTCCCATCGGCATGTAGCAAATAAGGATTCTAAAATAGAAAGCTATGATAGCTGACTGGGAAAGGATTATTCATCACTTTTTTGTTCAAATTGCTTTCAACCTGGGAGTTTTGTGCAGGAACGCAGTTACTACGCTTCAATTATTAATTTCCACGAGACCTTCATGTATCTGAAATCGATCTTCACTCAGAGAAGTTTGTTTGATCGTACTTTTATATGAAATACCAGTAATATTGACATCATCATGTTGATGAAATAAAAAAAAAATAGGTTTAACTTTCAACTTGCTGTTTGTGCACTTCCATGAAAAATATATCACGCCATCAGAATATTAACTGCTTCAAAAGCCTTAGCATTCCGTTTTCGAATATATTTCAAACGAATACCTAATAGCTGAAAGTTTTCAATAACTGTCCATTATGATTTATAGTCGATGGTAACATATATTATGCAAATTCTCCATAGACAAGATTGCTGTTCTTGTTGGAGATTATATTATAAAACTTTGTTTTACTGTAGTGTACTGTTCCTAGATATTAGTAGCCTTCGGTTATTTTCATTGATTTCCTTTTAGTTTTGTAACAGAATTCAGCAAAAAGAATATGTTAGTTTCATTAGTATTCAGTTTTTACCTGCCTGACGTAGTTTATAGTGCCAGAATGTAATGTCCTATGACAGGAACTACATCTTTTCGGGTCCGGATGTTCACTTGTTACAGTCATTATGTAGTTACATCGTCTATTTCTGCATGGAACCTTGAATTCTGCTATCATATTTTCTACATTAGGCCAATTCTCTTCACAGGCTGTGCATTTGCATTCGAAACTGTAACTCATAAGTAAAGTTCTTTTTCTTTTTTTTTTATCTACCCACATATAATGCGGCCCATAATTATCGTAGATAACTTCTCCGGTTCTAATTGGCTTGATTGTCCTTACTAGAATATGGCGGTTCTTATTTATCCTGCAATACAAAGGGCAAAATACATTGACCCTATATTGCTCTAATTACAAACAAAATGGTTCTCAAAACCCGAATCTCATAAACTAACCCTATTTTCTATTCTTTGGAATATGTGGTACTTTATAAATTAAATAGATTTGATGGATTAAGATTAATAGATAATTTTCTCAATATATTTCAACTGAGTAATTCTTCAAAGATTTCAGTATTTTAACTAAAAATATTTCAGACATATTTGTAATATTGTTGTAACCCCTTTGAAGATGAGAAAAGGGAAAGGATCCTCACCAAGAATTTCTCTGACTGACCTTTGAAAATATTGCTGATTAGGAATAACTCGCGATACGCATTAATTCACTTGAAAAGTAACAAAATAGTTTTATAACTTCAAAATATAATGATCAGATATAAAAGTATTCCAAACTACAACAAACTACTAAATGTAAACTATCCACAATTGCCATCATTAGAATGTTCTGAGAATTACCTGAACAATCATAAATGTATATTTTCATTTATTTTTGTATGAGGTTGGCTTTATAAACTTAGTGGTAGTTTCGTACTATACTAAAATGCCATAGTAGAATATTATTGAATTAAAACGAAAACATTTTTGTCAGGTTATGATTCTATATATTTCTCTATATATTTATCCCCATCTATTTAGTATAATTTCCGTACGCCACGACAAGAGACAGATTGAAGCAAAATCATCAGTCATTTCTGATAATTGTATGTCTTCTATTTTGGAATTATAGAGATTTGATCCTAATATATCAACTACAATGTTTTGAAATTATTACGCAGATCACAGATTCATGTCAATAACATAAAGTTATCTTGCGTTGAATGTTTATAGCTTTTCTCAAAATCTATAAGAGCCCCAATACTTCTCTCAAATCACATACAATACTCGACCATATCATCGATATGTTGTTTCGGTAGACGTACTGATACAAAATAGTTGAACCATTTATAACCATCTATTTGCAATATAATAGACCTCCTTTTGAAGTTGAGTGTGTTATATTAAAAAAAGACGAATCATTCAGATTCTGGTAGAGGAGGTCACTTAGATCCGGAGTATTGAATCACTTACATTCCAGATAAGAACGCTTACACAAGCCTAGGTTACTGAAACCTAGAAAAACATATCCAAGCCTGAATCTAATTATTACAGTGATCCCACCTTAAACGTTTACAGTTTTTCTGACAACTCTCAATAAATCACACTCGACCACTCAACTGTACTTCCGCACCATTTTTTTCTATTGAACAATGCAGGATACAGCGATTGGTCTACATCTTGAATTACTGACATCAAAGGAGGATGTGATTCCATAACAAATAGTTATATAACATCTAGCAAATTTCCTAAAACACTCTGCGCAAACTTTCTTGTGCGAAGTATTTTCCTTTCAGATAATATCATGAATGTTTCAAAAGTTCAGAGTGGTATTTGATGCTAACAAAAAAATTGCTTCGAAGGTAACTCAAAGATAGCGATAAAACGATAAGAAATATGACGGTACAGAAGTTGACGTTTCTCTGAGGGTTCATAAACTTAAACTTTAATTTTTTCAAACATAATTGTCTATAACTTTTGCTTCTGCACCACGTATCCCAATTCATAGTAGTGAAGATTATTATATTTTTGAACTTGTCAACTAATGTCTAATATACGAATTTTACATAATGCAGTAATATAGAGGAAAGTTTCAAAAAATATATAAATTATAAGTAATCACCTGACCACACTTGGATCACACGAATGATTAAAAAATGACAGCGTCGGGAAAAGTCCAACTCCTAGTCGTACTAACTCATAAGCAGACTCAAGTCCATATCTAATAGGGAGTTTGTTCTCAAGTGGTGTGATTTCACCCATACCGTGGACGTTATAAAATACCATTCTGCAGTTTCTCAAAAACAATTTTGCAATGAACAGTTCTTCTTCTGATAAAATGTTTCCTTCGGCCTTGAAAGGAAAAAAATTCATCAGTCTTAACAATTGTAAAACATACCCGGTTGTGTAAAAGGCAAACGCGTCAAACTCAGTAGTATTGTGATCTTTTCGATATAAAAACATGACATTATCAAAATCATCATGTCGATAGATATCTTTCTGAGGAAGCCCTAAGGGCCTTTTATCTGCCAAATATTCGGAGAGCTTGTCTCTCTGGTCAAAAAAAAAATGAAAACCCTTTTGAGTGAACATCCTCACCAAAAGGAAAATATTCGGGCCAGAATCACGAATAGTATCAAACATCTGGCATTCCAAAACATGATACGAATCTAAAGCAATTTTTTGGCAAGCCGGGCTGCAGAATATTATATTGGCACAGTTTGGACAAGGTAGAGGTTGATCAGTAGGTTGGAAACAATGTTGGCAGTTCATTAAAGACTTATTCTTCGTAAGTACTGCGACATGAGCTTCTTCTTTCAAAATAAGTGTGCCTATGGGAATATCTTTGTTCGCTACAGCGTATCTCCCACTTTTTTTGTTATAGGCAATATCTATTGCGGGGTGTGCTGCGATGTATTGTTCTCCTCCTCTGAATGTTTCAACATCTTCAAAAATATTCAATTCAGTTTGCTTCATTTCACTTTCTTTTTTTGATGCCTCAATCATCTGAATGTTTTCTTCACGAAGAGCTTCGGTTATAATACCATACTCTACCAGAAATTTTAAAGTTTCATCATAGTTTTGATCTGCCTTTTTAAAATTCATCAACATTTCTAAGCTTCTTGCTTTCCGCCACTCTAATTTATAAATCAATTCCGTTGGATAGCATCTTAGTTTCTCTACAGCAACTATATCCTTGATGACTTTTTCATATTCTTTCAATTCGAAAAAAACTGAGCTGCGATTGGCAAGCAGTTTCGACAATAGTTCTTGTTCTTCAGCTGAAAAGAGAAGTATTAAATGAATGACTTTTCAGTACTGAAATTTTCACGACGTAAAGAGGAGACTATAGTGAATTTTCAATTGATATTACTGAGTTCTATTCCAACAGCAAACCCTTATTTTAACACTCCGTGTTTCAATCACCAAGCGATCATCTTCAAGAGGAAGATTAAACTATTTAATTTTCCAGTTCATTCTTCCTCTTGGAGATCAAAACAGTGCATCACAAGTGAGATTTCAATGTTCGAAAATTGGAACTACTGGTGATGAATTCGATCGATTGTCATTATTTTCATGAAATAATTCATATCTTCATTGCATTTTTTGAGAAGATGGCCTTTTTATTCATCATATGTCTGAACATATTGATGATGATGTTGCATTTATGTAAATAATCGAATAAAAATAGGTCTGCGTATGGCCGTGATAATAGTTTAAGTTTTCTGAAAGTGTGTAAGCGCCGCCGTAAACGCTCCAAGATATGTACCGAATAGTAATAGGGGAGCCCAAGCGGGGATTTCGGTATTTACTAAAGCGTGGCAGATTAATATACAGGGGGATGCCTTGTACCTGGTTAACTACCTCAACCAAATATGAGCCCCATATATACCTAAGGCCGCCCGTGAAGGATAAAGGATCAGATTAGCAAAATAAAATTGATCATCAGAAATTCTCGAGTGCGACAGATTTAGGTAGGGGTGAGGTAATTACATGCTAAAAAGTGTATATTCCAGTAATTTGACAATTTGAGAGTGACGTAAAGAAAGGGGAGGGCAATAAAATTGTAAAAAAATAACGTCATTTCGACATTCTCGAGAGTAGCAAATTTTTTTTATTTTGAAGTCCTATAATTTATTGAGTTGTGGATTGTTTTGCCAATGAATAACATTACAAATCATACTTACAGTAAAAATGAGTAAAAAACAATGAATTGAACATATAAATCGAATAAAGAAAGTTGAACATTAATGGATTTTTTTGGTTTGACAAATGTCATACCTTCACATAAATGTAATTTTTCAATGGGCACGATGATTTGATAATCTTTGACTCTAAAGGGAGAGTTGATTGATACAATTTTCATTATCAACATCAACACGAAATCAAGACTTGGTACGAAACAAATTAGAAGCTATTTTTTTTATATCAATGCAATCAAACCATCTTCAGTGCTGGCATCTACTCAAAAAAATGTAGTTTCCTTATAAGTTTTGTACGCTAATAATTTTGTCGGAGTAGTTTTTATTTCGGAATTTTTAGTTAGCTCGTATCGGTTGGCATGGCAATCTTATCAATTATTTCTTTAGTTCTCGTCTCGGATTTTAACCGTGTGGCCACTTTGATTCCGGCCTTTTTGATATGTTTTTTACTTGCACTAAAATGTGACTGAAGTTTTAATCTATATAGTTAAAAATGTATACTTAAAAATGCGAAAGTCACTCACTTAACACTCACTCATTCATCTCTGTTTCTCCTTACTGGTCCTACGAAGCTAAACTTTGGTATAAAGGTGCTTCTTAGGTCTCAGATGCACACTAGGAGAGGATTATCAAATATTTCAACTGAGACGCCTCCCCCCCGCGGGGGTAAAAGGAGAGCATTTACATGTGAAAATTACCTTTTCATCACTGTTTCTCCGTACCGCTGTATTTTCGGAGGCTGAAATTTTGTATATAGGTTCACTCCATACTGTAGATGAGCAATAAGAGAGGATTTTCAAATATTCCAACTGGGGAGCCAGCCGCGGGAGGAAAAGGCGCGTCCATAAAACAAAACTATATTTTCATAACTGTTTCTCCATGCCCTTAGGGCGTTCCGGTGGGTGAATTTATATTTAGTATCAGCATCGCACCCGTCCGGAGCCGGGGCACGTCGCTAGTCAGTTCATATCTTGGAAACTTTCGGAACAATTTCAATAAAAGTTCTGTTCCCTAGAGCGAAATGAATGCAGATCACGAAAAAAGAATGATTTGAATTCGATAAATATTTTTGGAGAAATGCGTGGACAAAATTACATATATACAAATATGCATAAAAACATACATACTCGTACATACACCTACAAAATTTCAGTATATTTGTTTGGAATTCCTAATTATAAAAAATTTAAATC